TTTCAATGGGTTGTAACTGATAGGTCCTTCTGGAAGGATCTGGATCCGGCCCTGGGTCTGGGTCTGGGTCTGGATCTGGGCCTGGATCTGGCCCCGGATCTGGATCTGGCCCTGGATCTGGACCTGGGTCTGGGCCTGGATCTGGCCCCGGATCTGGATCTGGGTCTGGATCAGGATCTGGGTCTGGATCAGGATCTGGATCTGGATCTGGCCCTGGATGTGGACCTGGATCAGGATCAGGACCAGTATTTGGATCTGGATCTGGATCAGGAGCTGGACCTGGACCTGGATTTGGCCCTGGACCTGGATCTGCGGTGTGCAGAGAAAAGTTTTTCTCTGAGTTTTCTCGTTCTGGTTACAGAAGCAACAAACGGCTGCGCTGCAACAGCAAAGTGCTGGGATGAGCGGGTCGGGAACGTTGGCTAATCAGAAAGGAATGCTTGTTGTTTGGTTTGGATGCTGCTGGAAGCATCCCTGGATCAGCCGGAAACACTCCGCTTTGCTCGCGTCCACAAGGTTCCTGTTTACACCGCTCACTGGAACTATAGAATGATGAATTACGGTCTAAACACAAATGTTGATTATTACATTCATCCTGAGAAGATTTAGTCATAACTTCTCCTAAAAGTGACGTCATCTAATAAACGAAACTGTTTTTCTGCCTTCTCAGCCCAACGCTCTGATCACTGATGTTCCGTGAGAGGACTTCATCGTCTTTCTGTAATCTGGAGATCATTAGTTTAAATATTAGCTCGTCTGTTCCTACTCATAACCATGCACCAACTCTAATTCTAATCCAAACGTCTACACTTTTCTGCAGTTTCAGACTCACAAAGTGAGCTCACACATAAAACGGACGTTGGGAGGGTTAGTTTCAGTTCCTACTGAGCAGAAATGAGCCTGATTAAAAGGATGTAATGTTTTCAAAGCTGCAACAGCTTTATTTAGTGTTTTTGTGGTTTCACAGCCACGTCAGCACACCAGCAGCAACATACATCACAGCTGATGGCTCTCTTCATCACGCACCACAGTCGAGTCCCGCCCTTTGGCTCTGTGTCCTCCCAGCTGAGTCCTGCAGCAGGATGTCACCAAACAAACCCGAGCGTTCAGCCTAAAAGCCAGTGGAAAGTAAGGAGGCTGGACCTGAACGTGGGTTACAACTCATTCATCTCAAGCATCGTGAAGCTGCTGCAGCATCCTGATGCTCAGCTTGTGTTTGGAGACAGGATGAAGCATCAGGACGTCTGAGTGGTGAGTTCCTCTGGGATTTTCCATGCATCCTTCCTAACACACTCCAACATTAAAAATGCAACCTCTAAAGTAATGTGGAGACCTATTTAACCTATCTGATCACAGAAACAAGGAGTGAGAAGACACACTTACAGAATTTACGATGCCTTTGAGGGCGTGGAAGCCATCTTTGACAGGAAACACGTTGTTTTTGGAGTCCGCAATATCGGCAAGCTGTAGTTGAGAAGGAAGAGTGGTGTAAACAAGAGCTACGGCTGGTTTTCCGTTTCCTCCTCCTGACAGTCATTCCTCTGGTTCCACGGGCAGGAGGAGACGTAGCAGATGGCATGACTGTGGCAAACACTTTGCTCTACTATAAAAATGATTGCAGCACAAAACTGCCTTTGTTTTTGACTTCATAAGTGCTGATGGCAGGACGGTTACCACTGGTTACCAGGGACAGGCTCATGTTCCAACAGAAATGACGAATTACAGACTGGAGTGTAAGAATTCAGCTACAGCTCTAAATTATGATTAAATTCTGCAGAAATAAACACGAGGAAAAGTCATTTCTGACGCTTTTGAACAACAACAATCACATTAAACTTTAATGTCAGCACCTCACAGGATCCTCTAATAGCAACAGATGCATTTTAATGTTATTTACCTCCTAATTTGGTGAGTAACTGATTGCATTATTCCAGCTCAGTGAAGCCTTTGTTTGCCCATCATGCAGTTTTAGATGTTATTCTGTTCCATGAGACTTTTTCATGCAGGTAGAACACGCCTCCACTCAGATGGACAGACTTAAACATAAACACTAGAGTGCAGGGCACACGCCCGCTCGTGTTTGGTGGCTGCAGATTAACACTAAAGCTCCCTTACCTGCTGCTCGTCGAAGTCCTTGATACCCACACAGTAGACTCGAGCCCCGTACTTCCTCGCTTCATCGGCCTGCAGCTCGGATGGACGGAAGGAAGAGATGAAAAACTCACGTACATTTAAATCTAACCGAGTGGAATTTGAGGCAAAACCCCACCTGCTGCACGGTGAGTTCGTAAATATAAGGATCAAGCTTCCCGTCTGTCAGAGCCAGGATGATGCTGGAGGATTTGGTGGACTGCTGCCGAATCTGCACCGAGGCCTTTGGATTTAAACACAACATGATGAGATCACAGGCTGTTACGGAAAAGCTGCACCAGACAAACTGACCTCCTTCAGGCCCTCATGCATGTAGGTTTCACCGGCTGGATTCACATCCCGCAGGCGCATCAGACCGCTTTCAATATCGGCTCTGAGGAGTCACACAGAACAAAGCTGAGGCTTTAATCGCTTCTGGTTGTGTTGCCTGCTTCGTTCTTACAGGTTGTGTCCAACTCCATCAGCCGTTCGCTTAACGAGTGCGTCGCTGTTAAAACCTGCACCGGCCCAAACCCGCAGAAGATATGACGATGAACCCCAAACTCCCAAAGTACACAATTACTAAATAACGTTGTAAAAAATACACAAACAAACCTCTCAGGAGGAGAAAGGTCGCCAAGACCTACAATACCCATAATCCTTTGGGTGAATGACTTCAGATTACTGTAACTTTCATCTGGATCTGAAATGAACTCTTAGGAATCAGCATTACAGCAGTAAAACAATAATAAAGCACTTTAGACCCATCAGAGGTCTGAGTGACTGATGCGGATCCTGCTGCAGCAGCACAGGAAACATAACAGTCAGTCAAATGTCAGTTAACTCAGTAAAAACAGAAGAAAGACAGCTGGGTGCTGCAGACAGACAGGTTCCTGCCTCACGGTGCTTTTGAAATATTCTACATTCACTTTAATCTGGAAATGACATCAGCCAAGAGTTTCTACTTTCATTTGGACACTTCCTTTCTCCTGAGTGGCCCCAGTAGTTCATAAACAATAACGTTCAATACTTCATCCAATACAGACGTTTCGCGTTTCAACAGAAAAACACGTTAGATCAAGATGTTTTTCACAAGCAAAGAAAAGAAATGAAACCTGAACAAGGTTATACGGTTAGAAAAGTCAAACGCGGTTCAGGTAGGATCAATTAAAAGCCTGTCAAGCCCATAGAGTACCTGTCTCCAGTCAGCGGCAGCAGGACCTCAGCTCGGGCAGAGAAAACGATGAACGAGACTCTCATGTTTGGGCTGGAAAACAAAATAAATCACAATCAGGATAATAATGTGTGAAATAATCACAAGTCACAACAAGCGTTCATTTAAAATACAGGCTAAAATCAGGTGAGCAGTTCCCAGAGCACCTGAGGAGTCGCAGAGACACGAGCTGAGTTCAACGATCATGGTGAATAATTAGCTGAACAGGATGAGATCCTGTGATGTCACTAATATTAGTGTGTGACTTGCAGCAGCTTCTGTGGGAAGTGATTAATCAGACCAGAAACATGTTGTTGTGACGATGAGTCACAGAAACATCCTGCTGCACAGAAACTGTACCAGTGTAAAAACATAATGTACCTGTGACTTTTAAAGGTGAGAACAGACTCTGGACACTCAAACGTAACTGCAGCGCCGCTCTGGGGAGACTTCTCCAGAGTTGGAGCCATTTACACCACGTCACGCGACACGCCTCAAACACGCTAGCAGACTTTACGTGGTTTGGGTGTAAACACCCCGCTTCCATTAGTGAATACTACACAAACAAAAACCACCAAAACGGCCGTCAGCAGCTTCACCGGGACAAAAGCAAACCTTGGTTGTTGGACTTAGCACCAAAGCAAAAGAAAAGTATTCATGTTTAGAGGCAGCTCAATCATAAAGGCGAAAACTGTCAGTGATGATGATAATTGTTAGTTTTCTTCCCGATTCATGTCTTTATAACCTCCAAAATGACCTTATAATACGTCTGATTGTATTCAGGGATGCTCCGATCCCATCACGTGATTTTTGGTGGGAAAAATCTTAAAACAACTAACTATTTTTATCGTATATTAAAGATCGTTTTCTTTCCTTCTCTTTCCAGGAGTTGCTTGAACAGCAGATTTACAAAACACGATGTTTCACAACGGCTTTAGTTATATTACTGAGGTGAGGAAAAGAGACTAGTTTGAACTAGGGCTGCTCAATTAATCGAATTTTTATCACGATTACAATCTGGGCTTTCAACGATCATTAAAAATGACTTGAGCCGATTATTAGGCTATATTAGCACCTCCCTCGTGCTTTGCTCTCGCGTAGCAAATCGAGCGCACCTCTCTGCGTTTCGAACACGTGACGCGTCACATCAAGAGTTAGTTAAAGCTAGTAAAGCGTGACCTCAGAGGAAAGCTAAGTAGACTTTATTTGGAAAGGAGAGGATAATGGCTGCTAAAGAAAGAATTCCGTTGGTTGAAAAGCGAGGTAAAACTACTTCAGTGGTGTGGAAATATTACGGGTTCGCAGAGTCAGACGTGAATCAAGTCGATATAGTGTGTAAACTTTGCTACGGTGTTGTAGCTGCACCACAGGGCAACACTACCAATTTATTTAATCATTTGAGGACCGCTCACAAAGTAACATACGATGAAACAATGAAGGAGCATAGGGAAAAACCCTCAACAACACCGGCTTCATCCTCACAGACCTCCATTCACGCTACCCTGTACAACGCGACTAAATATCCCACCAGCTCCCAGAGACACAAGGAGATAACAAACGCGGTAACTTTTTTCCTCGCCAAAGACCAATGCTCAGTCAACACAGTGAACAACCCCGGCTTTAAGAAGCTAATCAACACTTTGGACAAACGGTATAACTTGCCATCTCGTCACTATTTTAGTCGAGTGGCGATTCCCGCTTTATATGATGAGTGTCATGATGGTGTCACAAAGGAAGTGGCTACAGCCCAATATTTTTCCACCACAACGGACTTGTGGTCAAGCCGCACCATGGAGCCGTATTTGAGCCTCACGGTACATTTCATTGACATGGATTTCAACATGAAAACGAAATGTCTTCAGACATCATTTTTCCCAGAAGACCACACAGGGCAGAACATAGCTGCAGGTCTGAAACAAGCACTGGCTACGTGGGATCTGGAGGAGAGTAAACTCGTCTGTATAACCACAGACAACGCTGCAAACGTCATACTGGCTGCAGAACTGAATGGCTGGATGAGGCTCCCGTGCTTTGGGCACAGATTACATTTGGCCATAGGTGAGTAGGCCTAATTCCTACTGAATATGATGCATAATGTGATTTTCTTTTAATAAGTATACAACATAATGCTTCGAATGAATATAATATATAAAAAAACTATTTAAATTCAGAGATACTTTTATTCCTTCTCAAAGTGATACACATTTTCTATGAATTATACAAACACATAAATAAGCAACCATCACTTTTTCCTATTCATTCATACTCAAGGAAATGACAATCATCCACTTGATAATGCTTGTTTATATTTTTTATGTTTTTACAGAAAGAGCCATGAAAGATCACAGGATTGAGCGTGCAGTGGGGGTCTGCAAAAAAGTGGTCAGCACCTTTTCATTCAGTTGGAAAAAAAAAGAGAGAGCTGAAAAAGGCACAGATAGACCTCAAACTGCCAGACCACTCCTTAAAGACCGAGTGTCCAACCAGATGGGGATCTAGGCAGGCCATGGTTTCCAGAGTCCTTGAGCAGCAGAAGGCCATTGCCCATGTCCTCTCCCAAGACAAAGGAACTAGGCACCTCATCCCCTCATGGCAGGACATCGATGTCCTTGAGGCCATCAACAAGACCCTGGGACCTCTGGTTGAATTCACTGATGCACTTTCTGGAGAGAAATATGTGAGTGTGTCTTTAATAAAACCAACACTCCACCTATTTAACAACTCAATCCTGGCTGAGCAAGATGATGACACAGACCTCTCAAAATGCATCAAGAGGAGAATACTGGAGTACCTAAATGAAAAGTATGGTGACTCACCAACACAAGAGTTGCTTGACATGGCCACTGTCCTGGACCCAAGGTTCAAACTGAGATATGCAAGCGAGGTCAGCCAAGAAACCATCAAAGCCAGACTGACAATGGAAATGAAGTCCATCATGGTATCTATCTATCTTGTCTGTCTGTCTATCTTTCTGTCTATCTATCTATCATTATTTATAGTAATTATTTAAGGATTGTACTTTAGAATGCCAAACCCGAGACAGATAAAACTGGTTCCTCATTCTGTGTTGCTGTCATTTTATGTTTGTCCCATTAAAGGAGGCTGCAGTGATGGGGGCACCCATTGGTAACACGGAGGTTGCTGATGATGGTGCATCGAACCAAACGAAGAGGAAAAGGGGCCTAAGCAGCTTCTTTAAGGCCCCTCACAGCCCAGCAGCTCCAGGTGCAGAACATACTCTTCAACTGGACCAGGCCATAGCTTGTGAGCTTCAGGGGTACCTCCAGGCTGGGACCCTGGACACAGAGGAAGACCCACTGGGGTGGTGGAAGCTATCACAGAACCTCTTCCCACGACTCTCCATCCTGGCAAAGAAATATCTTTGCATCCCAGCCACAAGTGCCTCATCAGAAAGGGTCTTCAGCACTGGTGGAAATGTTGTCAACTGCCTGCGTGCATCCCTAAAGCCTGACCATGTTAATAGGCTGGTGTTTTTGGCTAAAAACCTTTGAAAGGTTGCAGGAACCATGTTTTGTTGAGTCATTTTAAGATTGTATGGGACTCTGGCCACCTAGTTTTTATTTATTTCTTATAAAAGGTACTACTTTCAGTGTTTTATTTTATTTTTGTTCAGGCAGCAACTTTAGTTGACATACCTCAATGTCAGTTTGATGCAATTGTGCATTGTGTGGCTACACAGCTTGCCTTGATGTTTGGTTATTTGTATGCATATATATTATGCAGTAGTTTGAAGTTCACTGAACATTAATGTTTACATTTTTTTATTTATTCCTTATATTGCAAAGCAAACATTTGCACAGTGGTCAGTATTTGCACACCATTTTATATTTTTTGACAATCTTTAAAGCAATTATTCAATACATTGTTATTGTTAAATAAATATCGTGAAATAATCGTGATCTCAATTTCATTGGAAATAATCGTGATTTTCATTTTTGCCATAATCGAGCAGCCCTAGTTTGAACCTTTAAGAATCAGAATCAGAATCAGAAAAGGTTTATTGCCATTGTCAGTGAACAAGCAGTTCACAAACTAGGAACTTGCTTCGGTACTATTGTGCTACATATAACATGAATAATAAATTTCAAAAATAGAATAAGTAGAATAAAATATAATAAAACTAGCATAAAAAATTCAGCTATAAAAAAAGGCAGGTAACGGTAATATGGCCGATAACGTGACGTTATGTCAAGTACAGCAGACGAACATGGTTGTGTATTTATAAGCTGTTCACAAGGATAATGCTGTGTGAAAACAGACCATGTGGGAGAAAGTTATGTTTCTGTATGCTTTTATTCTGAAATGTCCAAACTTGACTGAATGTCCTCTCCCTGGGCTGCCACCTTACCGTGGTGGAGGGGTTTGAGTGTCTCAATGATCCTAGGAGCTAAGTTGTCTGAGGCTTTCTGCCTCTGGTAGGGTCACCCATGGCAAACAGGTCCTAGGTGAGAGATCAGACAAAGAGCAGCCCGAAGACCTCTTAAGATGAATTACATAAATGAAAACCGTGTTCCCTCGCCCGGACGTGGGTCACCAGGGCCCCCCCCTGGAGCCAGGCCTGGAGGTGGGGCACGTTGGCGAGCGCCTGGTGGCCGGGCTTTCACCCATGGAGCCCGGCCAGGCACAGCCCGAAGAGGAAATGTGGGCCCCCCTTCCCATGGGCTCACCACTCGTGGGAGGGGCCAAAGGGGTCGGGTGTAGTGTGTGACGGGTGGTGATCGGGGGCGGGGACCTTGGCGGTCTGATCCTCAGCTACAGAATCCTCTTGGCACATGGAATGTCACCTCTCTGGTGGGGAAGGAGCCTGAGTTGGTGTGTGAGGTTGAGAGGTTCCGACTAGATGTAGTCAGACTCACCTCAACGCATGGCTCTGTCTCTGGAACCAGTTTCCTTGAGAGGGGTTGGACTTTCTACCACTCTGGAGTTGCTCCCACAGAGGCGCCGAGCAGGGGTGGGCATACTAGTTGCCCCCCATCTTGGTGCCTGTACGTTGGGGTTTACCCCAGTGAATGAGAGGGTAGCCTCCCTCCGCCTACGTGTGGGGGGACGGGTTCTGGCTGTGGTCTGTGCTTAATGCACCAAACTACAATTCAGACTACCCACCCTTTTTGGAGACCTTGGAGGGGGTGCTGGAAAGCGCTCCTTCCGGTGACTCCCTCCTTCTGCTGGGGGACTTTAATGCTCACGTGGGCAACAACAGTGAGACCTGGAGAGGTGTGGCTGGGAGGAACGGCCCCCGATCTGAATTTGAGTGGTGTTTTGTTATTGGACTTCTGTGCCAGTGATGGATTGTCTATAATGAACACCATGTTCAGACATAAAGGTGTCCATATGTGCTTTTGGCACCAGGATACCTTAGGCCGCAGCTCGATGATCGACTTTCTTGTTGTTTCATCTGACCTGCGGCCTTATGTCTTGGACACTCGGGTGAAGAGAAAGGTGGAGCTGTCAACTGACCACTACCTGGTGGTGAGTTGGCTTAGATGGTGGGGGAGGAACCCAGTCAGACCAGGCAGGCCCAAACGTATCGCGAGGGTTTGCTGGGAACGTCTGGCAGAGTCTCCTGTCAGAAAGAGCTTCAGATCCCACCTCCGACAGAACTTCCAAAATGTTCCGGAGGAGGCGGGGGACATTGAGTCTGAATGGACCCTATTCCGTGCCTCCATTGTTGAGGTGGCCGACCGGAGCTGTGGTCGCAGGATCGTCAGAGCTTGTCGTGGTGGCAACCCCCGAACCCGCTGGTGGACACCGGCGGTTAGGGATACTGTCAAGCTGAAGAAAGAGTCCTATCAGGTGTTTTTGGCCTGTGGGACTCCAGAAGCAGCCGACAGGTACCGGCAGTCCAAGCGGAACGTGGCTCGGGTGGTCGCCGAGGCAAAAACCCGGACATGAGAGGAGTTCGGTGAGACCATGGAGCAAGACTTCCGTACGTCTTCGAGGAGATTCTGGTCCACCATACAGCGCCTCAGGGAGGAAAGCAGTGCGCTACCAACACTATCTATAGTGGGGACGGTATGCTGCTGACCTCTACTCAAGACGTTGTGGATCAGTGGACAGAATACTTCGAAAACCTCCTCAATCCCACCGACACGTCTTCCAGTGGGGAAGCAGAGTGTGGGGACTTTGGGTTGGCCTCTCAAATCTCTGGTGCTGAGGTCACTGAGGTGGTTAAAAAGCTCCTCTGTGGCAAGGCCCCAGGGGTGGGTGAGATCCGCCCAGAGTTCTTTAAGGCTCTGGATGTTGTGGGGCTGTGTTGGCTGACGCGGCTCTGCAATATCGCGTGGACATCGGGGGCAGTCCCCCCGGACTGGCAGACCGGGGTGGTGGTCCCCTTATTTAAAAAGGGGGACCGCAGGGTGTGTTCCAACTACAGGGGCATCACACTCCTGAGCCTTCCTGGTAAGGTCTATTCAGGGGTTCTGGAGCGGAGGGTCAGTCGGATTGCTGAACCTCAGGAGGAGCAATGTCGTTTTCGTCCTGGCCGTGGAACACTGGACCAGCTCTATACCTTAGGGGGCTCCTGGAGGGTGCGTGGGAATTTGCCTAACCAGTCTACATGTGTTCTGTGGATTTGGAGAAGGCGTTTGACTGCGCCCCTCGGGGGGCCCTGTGGAGGGTACTCGGGGAGTATGGGGTACCAGGCCCTCTGATACGGGCTGTTAGGTCCCTGTATGACCGGTGTCAGAGCTTGGTCCGCATTGCCGGCAGTAAGTCGGGCTCGTTCCCAGTGAGAGTTGGACTCTGCCAAGGCTGCCCTTTGTCACCGATTCTCTTCATAACCTTTATGGACAGGATTTCTAGGTGCAGCCAAGGGGTAGAGGGCATCCGTTTTGGTGGCCTGGGGATCAGGTCTCTGCTTTTTGCAGATGATGTGGTCCTGTTGGCTTCATCAGAACGTGATCTTCAGCTTTCACTGGAGCGGTTCGCAGCCGAGTGTGAAGCAGATGGGATGAGAATTAGCTCCTCTAAATCTAAGACCATGGTCTTTATTTGGAAAAAGGTAGAATGCATTCTCCGGGTCAAGGATGAGGTCCAGCCCCAAGTGGAGGAGTTTAAGTATCTCGGGGTCTTGTTCACGAGTGAGGGAAAACTGGAGCGTGAGATTGATAGGCGGATTGGTGCTGCATCTGCAGTGATGTGGGCGTTGTACCGGTCTGTCGTGGTGAAGAGAGAGCTGAGTCAGAAGGCGAGGCTCCCGATTTACCGGTCGATCTACGTTCCTACCCTCACCTATGGTCAAGAGCTTTGGGTAGTGACCGAAAGAACGAGATCGCGGATACTAGCGGCCTAAATGAGTTTTCTCTGAATAGTGGCTGGGCTCTCCCTTAGAGATAGGGTGAAAAGCTTGGTCATTCGGGAGGGGCTTGGAATAGACCCGCTGCTCCTCCACATCGAGAGGAGCCAGTTGAGGTGGTTCGGGCATCTGGTCAGGATGCCTCCTGGACGCCTCCCTGGTGAGGTTTTCCGGGCACGTCCAACCGGGAGGAGACCTAAAGGGAGACCCAGGACACGGTGGAGGGACTATGTCTCTCACCTGGCCAGGGAACGCCTTGGGATTCCCCTGGAGGAGCTGGCCCAAGTGGCTGGGGAGAGGGAAGTCTGGGTCTCTCGGCTTAGGCTACTGCCCCCGCGACCCAACTCAGGATAAGCGGATGAAAATGGATGGATGGATGGATGTCCAGACTTTGTGACTGATTATTGACTTTCAGTATCTGAGACAACACCCTGGGTCTCGTGCCTCTGAGGTGAGAATTTCAGTCCATGAAACCCAAAATAAAACATCAACATCCCCAAAAATAAGCCAAAGCTTCAGGCGTGGGACCTGCTCAGAGCAAAGCTTCTGTGTAACCCCCAGCTGAGCTGAAACTTCAGATATCAGGGATGTGAAGCCTTTGCAGCATAAGGAGATCTGCAGATTTCTCTCAACATGACACATGGCCAAGTTGCAGTCCTCCCCCACAAACGGCACCGTCCTGAACCAGAGACGAGCGCCATCTTTAAATCTGGTCATACGTCCACTAAAGGCCAACCAACTTTAGGTCCCACAGCTCTGTAAAAGCCACAAAACACAGAAGTGATCCACATTTCTAACAGAGACTCTGGTGTGAGGATCTTTAGAGATGGGGTGGGGTGCTGAATGAGTCCGGTTTGCTCCACATGGCGGAACAGAAGTGCTCTTGGTGAGCGAGCATTGTTTAGCAGATTGTCCTCGTCGCCTTCCAGTGTTCTTTTGCTTTACTGTACATTGTCTGCCTGTCAGCCGTTCTGTGGTGGAAGCAGGGGATAAGTGTGGCGACGGACCCCCCCGGTGCAAATGGCCGTTCTCACAGCCCAGAAGATTGCTCCTCTCTGCCACCCACTCCCACCTGGTGCCTTTGCTATTTTCTTCAACCAACCACTTCATTCTGGCTGTGGCGCTGCCGTCTGTACTGTGCTGGCAGGCGCCGCTCGATTCAAACATTATGCAAGCCCAACGCTTCAAGTCCATTGTAACGCTTTTGTCTTTTATTATGAGAAAAAAGGATACAGGAGGGTAGTTTGGAAACAGGTGGGAAGTCCTTTAAATCTGAGCAACAATGCCTTACAGACACTTATTCTCTTAAACGGGTAACAGATGGAAAGATGAGAAATCAGTCAAACTTCAATGATTTTGTAGAAGGTTTTTACTGCGTTAGTTCATGTATTTCAACACAAGTCAAAGCCTGAGAGAATCAAAGACTTTTAGTTTAAACTGAGGTTGGAGATCATCTAACCCTCAGCTGCATTCCCAGTTCTGTGCCATGATGTTTATGAGTCCTCATAAACAAAACCCTGAAACTCAAAAACACGATTATTTATTTAGTTGGTGAATGCACCGTTGCCACGTAGAAACAGAAACTGAAGTTTTTACTCTATCATTTTTGTAAGCGTTTTGATTTTACTTCCAGTCATAATTATTAAATAATAAATATAAATTTGCCACTTTTATCAGACCAACCAAAATCAGCAGGCCAACGCTGCACAAGCACATGGAACCGGTATCGGCCCTCAAAACCAGAACCAGTGCACGAAATGAAATACTCGCCTCACAAATCGGTCGGTCAGGTTCCTGACGAAGGAGTAGATCTCGCCCCAGTCCTGAGCGATGCTTCCAGACCTGAAATGGGACAGAAGAGTCGGCTTAGCTGATGGGTGCCAGCAGGCTGAGAACATTGTTTTTGATTCGTACGACACCCACAGTTGGACATTCACTCCAGCCACATGCTGGATCATTACTGACAAGTCCGACCTAACCTCAGCTGTTAAAGAATGCTTGTTTCTACAAACGTGTCTGGCTGTCGGAGCACAAAAGAGCTTCCCCAAAACACCAAAACAAGTCATGTTAGGAACAAAAAGTCCTGCTGAAGCAGAAGTCATCTTTGTTTCTGCACAAGAAACCACACATGCACACACACACGCACACACATGCACACACACACGCGCATACATACACACACTCACGCACACAAGCATACACACACGCAAACACACGCATACAAACAAGCATATGCACATCATACATACACGCATGCACACACTCACACACACGCACATGCATACAGACATGCATTCACACCCACATTCACACACACACACACACACACATGCATTCACACACACATTCATTCACACACACACGCATTCGCACGCACACACACACGCATACACACACACGCAGAGACACATGCATACACACACACGCATACACACACATGCATACGCACATATGCATACACACACACGCATTCACACACGCAAACACACACATACACACACTCATACACACAGGCACACACACACACACATGCATACACACATGCACATCATACATACACGCATATACACACTCACACACATGCATACAGACATGCATTCACACACACATACACACATGCACATACACGCATACGCACACACACGCATACACACATGCATACACACATGCATGTCATACATACACGCATACACACACACACTCACACACACACACATGCATACAGACATGCATTCACACACGCATACACACAGGCACACACATGAATACACACACGCATACACTCACACACGCATGCATACACACACACACACATGCACACACACACACACGCATACTCACACACGCATACACACACACACATGCATACGCACACATGCATCCACACACGAACACACACACACGCAAACGCACACACACACACACACACACACGCATACGCACACACATGCACGCACACACACACACACACGCACACACGCATTCACACACATGCACGCACACGCCCGCACACACACACGCATACACACACACACGCACATACACACGCATACACACACATGCATACAAACATGCATACACACACACACACGCATACACATGCACGCACACACACACGCATTCACACACATGCATACACACGCATACACACACTCATACACACACATATACACACGCATTCACACACACACATGCATACACACACATACGCATACACATGCACGCACACACACACACACACACACATTCACACACATGCATACACACGCACACACACACGCATATAAACATGTATTCACACACAAGCAAACACACACGCATACACAGACTCACATGCATATACATGCACACACACACATGCATACACACTCATACACACACTCATACACACACGCATATACACACGAATTCACACACGCACATACACATGCATACACACACACACACACATGCATATACACACACACATACACGCATACACACACTCATACACGCACACACAAGCATACACACATACATACACACGCACGCATACACATACACACACGCATACACACACATGCATACACAAACACGCATACACATGGTCGGAGGGACTGGTGGCGCCAGTGCTCGGCAGCCTCGCCTCTGTCAGTGCGCCCCAGGGCAGCTGTGGCTACATTGTAGCTCATCCCCACCAGTGTGTGAATGTGTGTGTGAATGGGTGAATGACTGATTGTGTTGTAAAGCGCCTTGGGGGGTTTCAAGAACTCTAGAAGGCGCTATATCAAATACAGGCCATTTACCATTTACACACGCACACGCATACACACACATTCACACACACATACACACACGCATTCACACATGCATTCACACACACACACACACACACACACACATTCACACACGCATCATACACATTCGCACACACATGCACACACACACACACACACACACACACACACACGCATACACAGTGTGAGCAGCATCAGCGCTGCGTGTAAAACCTGCCCTTGGTGTAACGACAGAGATAATTAAATCAATAATTACAGCTGGATGTACACGTGGAGAGCATAAAGCAGAAGAGTTTGGCCATTAGGAAGCTCATCTTTCATGCCACCTCGTTCTCCTCCCCACTCTGTAAAAACAAGGTCACACAGGAAAGGTGAAGCAAAAGAACCCGGCACTCCGACAGGACCGGATCGTCTCTGTGATAAACAGCTGTTAGGTGTTGCTGATGCAGGAGCATGAAAGGTTTCCAGAGTCTGGCAGCAGGAATCACCAGGAAGACGTGGAAAACAAAAGGTTTACCACAGCAGGGTTCCTCCGACTCTCGTTTATAATGAAAACTGAGGCGATTTTATGGTGGAAGGATAATGAGGTTTTATGATCATCTAGAATTAAACTTTATCTGATTAACTGAATACAAGGTTACACCGGTGCTAAACGCCCTATTCAAGCACTTTTTATATGAGCCCTGAAATTTTTCCAGAACTTTACATGAACAGACTTTAGGGCTAAAAATGATTATTTCCTTTCCCAGACTCTGGAACCTGACCCCTGAGCCTGACACCAGTGGACTCATTGGTCTCCTTTAAAAGGCAGCTGGTGTGACCTCCTGACTCTTCTCACAAGCTTCTCTTCATGCTGCTATTTACGCAGGGTTTCCCCAGCGCGTTATAAGCCTGGCGGCCCGCTTTGCTTGACCACCCACTTTGCTAAGCATCGTGCCCCGCCCCCCTCCCCGACCCTAACACAAATGGTGCAACGAAACTGCAACGAAACTAGAGCCCCCCATCAGCTGATACTGGTGAGAAACAGCAGCGGAACTGTGCAACCCCCCCACCGCCAGCCTCCACCCCCCAACCCCACAGCCACCACCACCACCCCCCCACCCCCGCTCTCACGGAGGAGCCCTGCGGGACGGAGCACGCACCCTTGAAAAATGCTTTCCTGCTGTCATGTGAAATTTAATACAAATCTAGCCATGCTTTTATTTCCAAACAATGGTAGAATATTTTTCAAATGTGCACACTAAGGCTTAAAACACTAGTCAAAATAAATAGATGAAGCAGCCAATGGCTCGTTGGTTTCCATTCGGTCCTTGAATAAAACATTTATCTGAAATATTTTTGCAGGAACTGTTTTACACAGTTCCCATCTCGCTGCTGAATGACACTTTTATCTGTAATGGGTTAAGTGATTAATAAAACATCATGACAGGTGAGTGGGCGGGGCTTTCAGCCCCACATCCCACTTGCACAACCTGGTTCCAAAAACATCAAACAGAAGGACCATTTCTGATTAGTCTTTGTTATTCTGTCTGCCCACAGACTTGTGTGTTTGTTGGCTGGTGATCATTTTAAAAAGAACAACAAGAATCTGTATCAGGAATCAGCTAATCGACCCCTACTAACCCTAACCCTACTAATCCTACTAACCCTACCCTTAACCAACAGATATAAAAAATGTCTTATCATTTTTGCCTGTTATGAAGAAGTAGAAGACATTTTGGCAGAATTGGTCAAGAGTCACCTTCTTTGTTCACTCATTAGGAAAGAACCTAGCATAGAACCTAGAACCTTAGACCCTAGAATGTTAGATTAGCTTAGAACCTAAAACGTTAAACCCTAGAATGTTAGAACAGCTTAGAACCTAGAATGTTAGACCCTAGAACGTTAGATTAGCTTAGAACCTAGAACCTTGGACCCTAGAACGTTAGAACAGCTTAGAACCTAGAACCTTAGACCCTAGAATGTTAGAACAGGTTAGAACCTAGAACGTTAGAACCTAGAACTTGAGACCCTAGAACATTAGAACAGCTAAGAACCTAGAACGTTAGACCCTAGAATGTTAGAACAGCTTAGAACCTAGAACGTTAGACCCTAGGATGTTAGATTAGCTTAGAATCTAGAACCTTAGACCCTAGAACGTTAGAGCAGCTTAGAATCTAGAACATTAGAACAGCTTAGAACCTAGAAAGTTAGACCCTAGAACATTAGATTAGCTTAGAATCTAGAACCTTAGACCCTAGAACGTTAGAGCAGCTTAGAACCTAGAAAGTTAGAACAGCTTAGAACCTAGAACGTTAAATTTGCTTAGAACCTAGAACATTGGACCCTAGAACGTTAGAACAGCTTAGAACCTAGAACCTTAGACCCTAGAATGTTAGAACAGCTTAGAACCTAGAACTTTAGACCCTAGAACGTTAGAACAGCTAAGAACTTAGAACGTTAGAACCTAGAACTTTAGAACCTAGAACATTAGAACAGCAAAGAACCTACAACGTTAGAACCTAGAACATTAGACCCTGGAATGTTAGAACAGCTTAGAACCTAGACCATCACTTGCTGAAGCTAAGTGATTTGATCAGCACTTTGGTCTAACAACGCAGCCCCGGCCAGTATTGTGGCTGACCAATCACAGCACATTTAATTGGAAAAACTATTTTCGTCTTCTACAATCTAATGGCGGTAGTCATGTGACATTCATGAATCTTTTGAACAGCTCTTCAAAGTGAAAGATGACAGCTGAGTCCTTGTAGAGAACTGTTGATCCTGTCTTCCAGTAACCCCCAACCACGAGCATCTGCAGGAGGCTAGGGCTGCAACAAACGATTATTTGGATAATCGATTAATCGGATGGGGTCTCGACACGATTAATCGATTAATCGGATTACATGGGGAAATTTTTAAAAACTGCTAGGGAAACGTTATTTCTCTCCTTCCTTCACTTTATTTAACACAACATTATTAGAAAACAGTTCAATAGCAGAAAAACAACATGCCATCACCTAAATTGTCTTATAAGGTGTATAGACAGAGACCCTAAGCTACATCTATCTGTGACCTAAAATGCTT